AAACAAAGCTATTAAAGTGATGGACATAGTATGACCACTAAATAATTTATCTACTGTTGAGAAATGAAGACCTGTCATAATATAAAATCCTTCTAAGAATGGATTTGAATTAACAGTAGTTTTAGCTCGAGATGGATCAGGTAAGATAGTTAAATAAACACAAACTAATCGAATTGCAAATAACACTCCCATTAAAGTAAAATACCTTCGTAAAATAATTAAACGATACTTTGTTATAAAAAATCTAAACACTAAACATATAATAATAATTGCTCCAAGATAAATATCAGCAAATTGAACAATATCAACAAATGGCATTAAAGTAAATCCTATATCATCTAATATGAATTGTTGATATTTAATATCTGGATGGAACCTATAAAATATTCTTTGATTTTCTTGTGAAAAACAAATTATTACTCCACTAAAATACCCTGTAGTTATTGTAAGAAAAATAGCTACACATAATGGATGTGTTAATCCAACAATAATTGATTGCATTGGATTATGAATTAAATATTGTAAACATGTTAATATAAACAATAATGTATCTTTTAATCCTCCAATAATACCACATGGTGGATATACTGCATTTTCTTCTAATGGTAAAATTAAATAATAATCCCCTTCAATTCTCTTCTTATTTCCATTTTCATCAACTCCACTAACAATAAGATGTTGTTGTTGCTGTTCTAATTCCATTAAATGAATCAAAAATTAAGTTCTTATGAAGGGTTTATAAGGTAATAACAACAATCATCCAAAAAAAAACATATTATTATGAAAAAGAAGTAACCTTCGAGTAAGAAAGAAGGGAACTTTTTATTACTTCATTACTTCATTCTTCTTTTTGGTTTTAGTAAAAAAATAACAAAATTAAAAAAAAACACACAAGTTTAAATTATAAAGAAACTAATTCTTAAAACAATTTTTTGGTATTTTTATAATCTTTTTATTCTATTATAAAAGTATAAATATTTAAAAAATATTTCAAAAAGAAAAAAGAAACAAATAATAATGATAAACAACTTTGAAATTAATTACAAAAATTTAGAATATCG